GCCTGCCGGCGGCGATGGTCGGGCCTTAGGCCCGACCATTTCAGTCTTGCGATTTACCGAAGTGCATAATCAAATGAATAATGTGACCGGTTAATTACTTTGCATATTTGAGTAAACTAACGCGTCCGGTGGGGGGCCTGCGGCCCTAGAAATTTGCTCCTTATGGACATGACAAAAGACTTTAACGGGGCAACACCGTGACTACACCCCACCCTTCTGCTTCGCTTAAGAATTAAAAAAAAGAACCCGCGCAGATTGTATATTGTAGATTGTATATTGTTTGTCAAACAGTCTTAAAACTTGACTTTTTGCAATTGTTTTCAGTATATCTACCTGTAGCTCCTAAACGGTTAAAGATACGGTAAATCGGAGGGTAGAATCAGACTCAGAATGTGCTGTTTTGGGGGGGTACTTCCTCTGACATTTTACGATTGGACGCCTCCTTGTACGTTTTCATGTGCAACGTGGTCATTTTCACCGTATTTTCGTCGAAAAAAACACTCTAGCGCCTAAACGGTGCAAGATAGAGGCAAACGGACGAAATTTTAGCCCAAAGGGTCCTAACTCGGCGAGTTACCCATTAGATTGAGAATTTCCCGAATTTCCGAAACCCCAAATTTGGGTCATTTTCTAAGGCGTCTAGCTCCTCAGGAAGGGCTCGACCCACCCTTTTTTATTTTCTTATCTGATAGTATGGTTCTTTAGCTTTTCAAATCATATAACGAAAACATTTTACGATTTTTTCTTCCCAAAAAACCCAAAGATCTTAGAAAGGCCTGCAAAAGTTTTAGGGCTCCAATATCTACCATACATTTACCCCAAACACTAAAGTTCTACCCCTTTTTGGAAACCTTAGACACTTTCCTACCAGAATATGACATTTAGTTGCCTCTGGGACCCATACAGCAAGAGAAAGCGCAATTTTTCAATCTAAACCTTATTTTAGTACAAAAAGTGACTAAAATCTTCAAAAAATCATATCTCCGCCAATAAATTTTTTTGGGGGGTTGTGCCAATGGTTTTTCACTCATATTGATGAGTAGATTAAGTGAGAAAATTTTGGCCGAAGTTGTAGAGGGTCGATGTAAATCGCTCGTGATCTAATTTGATCTTCCTCGGAGGGTCCTTTCCTCCCTGCCTCCCCTCTCATCCCCGCGTAGGACTCCTGGGCCGCCCGGCCGCCGGGGTTAGCGACACTCGCCGCCTGCGACACATTCCGGCAAAGTCACGCCTCAAAGGCTCGATCCCATCCAACACAAAAAAAACAACCTGCACGACACGCAGAGAGAAGAAAATGAAGCTGGGGAAAATGTCCTAAAACCCTTTACAGGGGGACGCGACTGCAATTTTGAGTTGCATGCCTTTTTAGGGAGCTCAGGGTGGATCAGTGCAACTAAGCACCCTTTCTTTGCCGTGTGTGTTTTTTTTTTCAGTTGAAGGTAGGCCTACAATCTTTAGAAGTTGCCAGCGTCTTTTGCAAATTATCACACATGAAATTGTAAAAGTCATTTTTTTTTAAAAAACGCAATCTATTATTTTTCTTCCTTGAAAAAAAAATTGGCAGGACAATTTGTGCCAGCTCGAATACCATCGAATTTGCCCCCATAATATGATACACAATTTCTTTTAATCATTGCGTTGGTATATACCTCCAACGTCTATCTGATCGTATTCCTTTTTTCGCTTTGTCCTCTGTGTGACGACATTTGTATTGAGAGTGTAGAGTGGCGTCGAGGCACTAAAATATTACAAAGGTGGGGGGGGTACATTCTACAATATACAATCTGCGCGGGTTCTTTTTTATTTAATCCTTAAAACCCGTCGAGTTAGGAACCTTTGGCCTAAAATTTCGTCCTTTTGGCCCTAACTCTTACCGTTTAGGTGGTGTGGGGTGGTTTTGTCCCGAATTTATGATAAAAGACAAGTATGGG